TGCTTTGTTCCCACCTGCCCAGCTACAGTTGCCCTGCTTTTTCTGACAAAGGCACCCTAATTTTCTTTGGGGAACCACCACTCTCCCACTCTTTGGTCATATGGGGACCCAGGCCTGGCCAATGAGAATCCCACATTCTGCTGGCTTACTGACTGATTCAGAGACAGGCACATGACCCCCCTGGCCAGTGAGTCTAGCCCTAGGACTTTTGATCAAACTACAGGGAAAGAGAAGCTGTTTTTCCATCGTTACTAAGCTGGTAAGATATAAACTGTTCATGGCTGTCACCACTTGGGGAAAGCTGCCTAAGAATGAAGCCAAAAACATGAAAGCAGAGATGAGGAGTTTCTTCCTGTCATTTAATCACCTGGATCTAGCTGTGACTAAAGCAAAACCCCTGAAGCTTTCCCACTACACATGCCAATAGATTCCTTTTTGTTTGTTTAGACCAGTTTAAGCTGGGCTTCTGCCATTTCCAACCAAAAATATCTCAACACAACATTATTTGTGCCAAATAGCTAAGAATTCACTGAAATAGAATAAAAGCATGGTTGATGTTTGCAGGTTTGTGAAAGCAGCCACATGTCGTCACGTTGAATTCACTTCTATTTTTTTGCTCAGTATGTAACTGCACTTTGATTTAATTTTAAAGAGACAGAGGTAGAGAGGAAGAGAAAGGATCACTCCCTGATATGCATGTGGGTCTGTTTCATGGTGATTAAATTTCTATATATCTTCATCCATGCTTTGAAGTATCTAAAGTTAACCTTCTATGTATTTAATCTGTCTAGCCTGTTCTAGAACCTACTGCCATCAATTATTCTTTCCCTCACCAAAGAAAACCACCCTCAGCTTTTCCTATTCTACCAGTTCCTACCCCTCCCTCAAGGTACACCTATGTCTCCTCCACACACAAAAAAATAAACAGAAGAAAAAAAAAAACTTCAATATACAAAATCATCCATACACACAATTAGTCAGAAATAATAGCAAAAATAACTTGAGGGCCGGCCCGGTGGCGCACTGGATAGTGCGCCGCTTGGGAAGCGCGGCTG